CATAACATAGGCATTAAATGTATTAAATTAGATAGAAATCTCGAATGATTGCTGCCACACATACGGTCATTAAATAAACATTCATAACGATATATAGAAAACAGCACTTGTAGGCTTTAAAATTTCTCTACAAAAATTGTCGCCTTTTGTTTTATCAAAAAATTAAAAATAAACACAAAAAAAAAAGAAAAAAATGTTTAACAAAAAAAGAAAAAGAAATTTTCATTACAATCGCAATAACGATATATATATGACCCGAATACGCCCATTTTGAGCCTCAGTGGTGGCGTGTCTGCAGGCAAAAAAAAAAAAACCTGGTTTTTTCTTCAACCAGTCAAGCAGGCAACAAAGCTTTACGCTACATGTCTTGTACTTCTTATACGGTTCGCTTATAAAGCTACAGTCAAGCATCAAGCACTGGTAACCAGATTCTTTGTTGTTTCTACCTTTTTTTTTTTTTTAAACATGTGCTTTCGATATATGTTGTGTACCGGTAAGCGCCAAAGGCATTTTGCACTTGCGCTGTGGCCTGTCAATGATTGAAAACATGTTTTTTTTTTTTTTGCTTTTTGTTGCATTGTTGGCTGACAATTTTTGTGTGCTTTCTATTATGTGGCAAACTATATCATAGCGAGCGGTATCTTCTGTTTGTAATTTGGTTTGAAAAATATGCAAATGCAGTTGCAGTTGCAGTTGAAATTCTTAGTTCTTAGGAGTATTGACCTCTTACGCGATAAGAACGAAATGTTTGACGAACTTTCAGTATTAATTGTTCATTCAGAAGCTCGTATGTCTTGAAATATTTTTTTGGAGATTCGAAGTGACAGCGAATAAATAATAAATATTATACTTAATAATGGATCCATTGATCTATCTATTCATAGTTGTAATCAATTAGTCGTTATCTGCTGTTTTGTTTCTCTTTTCAAAGCTTTCGCAACCGTCAGCATGTAAATATCTTTTAAAATTCTAGGCAACAGGAAACTAAAAGATAATAAAGTTTTCCCTAACTTGATGATTGCTAATAAATAACTTGGGTTAAGAATGTAATCGAAAACAAAACCACTATATATATATATATATATATATATATGAAACAGCTTTAAAGAAACTTCCAAGATAATTGCAAAATAATTTCGCATCACGTTCTCCATGCTACTACGATCAAGTGGTTTCAAGTGGTTTTCCGTTGCTTTACGCATAGATTCTCTTGTCCGCAAACTAAATTGACCAAAGTAATCCAAACAATCATAGGGTAAGATTAGACGACAACTTTTATTAGCAAGTTGCAACTGTCACCGAAGAATGCCTCTATATAAGCTTTGCTTTCTCTTTGTATTATTCAGCGGTAGGAAGGGTTCTTTGCTTATCCTCATGCTCATCCTTCTGTCCCTGCTTTAATTGACTATTTTACGGAAAATATAAATAGAAAGTTGAACATGGAAGAAATGCATTCTTAGGCTAAAAATAAACACGATTCCATCTTCAAATCAAAGAAAATAAAAATCCATTTCAAAATAACTACATTATTAGCTTGTATACGGCTACTGTACTATTGTATGTTCACGATATTCATTTCGAAACTGATTAAAGCTTGTTATTATTTTTGTAATAATACTTTTGTAACGTGTACCGTTTTCAGTTCATCATAAAGTACATTTCAACGCCAAACTCCCCAATGTTTAAAACTGCGATTTTTTTTTTTAATTACGTGAGGCGTTGATTATCCAAAATTGTCGCGTTCTGAGTCGCATAACTTTTAGAGACAGGTAGGTAGGTGAAAGGTGACAGTGTGTAGCTGCTTGAAAACAAGAGAGAGAGCAAAACATTTTGATATTTTTTACTCCAATCAAAAGTAATAGCGTTTGAAAATAAACAAAGCTTTAAAAAGAATTCGATTATTAGGGAATATGTCTTCGGCCAAAGTAATAACATCTCGCACGCTTGTGAAAAAATTTATGGTGCTTAGAGCGAAGATGCTTTGTCAAAATCAGCTGAACGCAGGATTTTAAGTATGCATAGCGTTCTGATCGACTGACTGCTCAATATGTCTCCGAAGCCAAGTAAATCGCAATCACTTCGTGCGCCTATATATCAAAGCTTCCTGATTCGTTAGTTGCAGTAATGAAGGCGTGTAACCCTTGTCACGTTTATTGTAACAGGTTTTCCTGGCCATGTGTAAATTGATTGTGATGTGTTTTGTAAAATACTGCATAAATCTGTTATGAATTAAAGAGGCATAATTTAACGGCTTGCTGCCTCTAAAACTCTTTTCTACTCTAAAATTATTTAGCGCAAGATGATACCAACAAATTTATTTACTAAAAACTGAAAAAAAAAACTTGAAACAAATTATGACGAATTTTGCATAAATGCCACCAGGAGTAAAAATTTAAAAGTGGTTCATTCACTTTCCAGTCGAGAGCGGTATAACACATCGTTCAATTAAAAGTTCGTAGGACAAGGAGATGATGCGACATTTTGTGCAAAATTCGACCTAAAAGACTGTTACGGAGTCTTGTCCGTGTGATAACTGCTTGCTCTCTCACTCTTTCATTATTTGCAAAGACTCCGGTTAATAGTTTCTTAATATGATATCGCATTCTGTCAAACGTTCGCAAAGCTGAAGCATATACAGAGTTCTGTGTTTTTTAATGAACATGCGCTATACATACCTAAGTAGCTCATACAATTCGGTGTCTGTTGATCGTTCATTTTACATTGAAGTATTCTAAATTTTGTGTTCGCGAAATGTTTCAACAAATTTCATTGAAAAATTTCATACAAAAAAAAATTGGAAAGTTTTTTATCATTAAAAAAAATATTGTCTGAAAGATTAGGACACGTTGCTTGTAAAATTTCGCTTGATCATGACAGTCAAGCATATTTTTTTAAGATATCTGCTTATATGGTATATTGTGAAACGTACCTCGTGCGTCTGCTCTTCCGCTTGCTTCGTTACAGATATTTCCGATGTGCCTGCTTGATCGCCACAATCAATATTTAAGCCGTTTTCTTCTGCATAATCACTATCAATGACGTCATGGGTACTTGATTGATAATCTGCTTCCGATCGGTACACGTCCGTAATTGTACGAAATAAAGTGTCTCATGGCAAGATTACATTTTGATCAGCTTATGGGGAAATTGAACGTCGTCTTTACAACGGACGATGACTGCATAGACTACACTTACTGTTTATTGTAGAAAAATTCAAAATTATTGCTCCGATAACATGCGGATTTAGAACATACTAATCGGAAAAATCAAGAACTGTTCAAATTGTGTGTAAGTTATTTTTTCAAAAACTAGCGCAGAATAACTCATATGTGATATCATATGTGATATGGAAAATTGGATAATATATGTAAAATGTATTCCGTAAGCAAATTAAATTAATAAATATTGTATATAAGTAATAAGTGAATTAGATAAATTACTTACTTCTACAACAAAATATTTTTTTATGTCTACTTTTGTTTTCTTTCATAATGTATGCAGTACAGCGCAGAAAGCTTCAGAAACCCTTTAAAGTATACATGTTCTATGTTGATCAGCGTGAAATTCTGAATTGATTTTTTCATGCCAGTCCGTCTGTGTGGTGTTTGTTGCTGTTACTCTCCTAGTCGTAAAAATGATAGACACATTGGGAGTTTTTACACGTGGGTTGGTATTAAAAATAGGCCAAATTGGTCAAAGCAGAAGCGCGCAGTGGAGCGTAAACTGAACGCAACTTTGTTTTTCTTAACGAAAATTTGTGAGTTTTTTGCTCGTTACTCCGAAATTGTTACAGTTAGAGTTACAGGCTGAAATTTTTTGCATTGACTTTACAAAACACCTTACTCTTTACGTGCTAAAATGGAAAAAATCGGCTATGCCTCACCTTTGGCGATATTTTCTGCTTATTGATCGTAGGGCAAAGGAGACAAAACGTTTAAAACTATTTTGTATATTCCTGAAATGAAGATATATTATCTGCCCAAAAATGGGTTAATTCTAAAATGAGTATGCTACGTACCGCGATCTAGTGGATTAATTTTTTTTTTTAATAATATCAGCGATATGAGTAGCAAATAAAAGGACTTGAGGAGCAGAATGCGGAGAGTCTAGTGGTGGGTGTGCGAGATTCGGGCCTTGACGAATCCAATTTTCTTACATTAATTAGTAATAAAAAAGTTGTTCATATTTGCAATGAAACTTATTGAAGCATTTAAGGAGCAGAAAATGTAGATGTGTCACATCATCAATGGGAAATAAACGATGAAGAGAAAATCAATTATATATGTTGCATACAAACCTTCCGTTTGGTTCTTTTCATACATGCACACTCATATATTTGCATACACTGCGCATATTCACTTAAAAACCCCGCATTGTATGGATTGGATGAAGTTTGACGATAATTGATTCAATGCTTACTGTACAAAATTGCATACAATCTCTTATCTACAAATTTCATCCTTGACTATCCAATATATATGCTTTTGCTTGGCAAACGGTTAAGAGAATGCGACGTCATATTAAGAAACTATTAACAGAATCTTTCCGTAAGTAATAATCTCTTAGCTTAAATTTTAAACCGAGTGTTGGACTGTTCTAATGCCAACTAAAAATCATATGGATTCGTTAATAGCGACGACATCTACATGTCATCATACGCATTGAGTTGAGTGATGTGTTCTGTTTAGTTTCCTCTACAAGGGCAAAAAATTTCGTTTATAGCCGGCAAAGTGCAATCATCGGAAGATCAATATGAGCGAAATGTACTGCCAAATAACTGTACTGTAAATAGCACATAATTCACCAAGAAAATAAGCTTAAAAAAAAAAAAAAAAAAAAAAAAAAAAAAAAAAAAAAAAAAAAAAAATATGAAATGCATGAGTAATTGAAATGAAAAATGAATGCCGAAGGTAACATATATATATACACACATATATTATACACACGTCAATGCAATTTATTGTCTTCGTTTTTTGCCTAATTAATTTTGTTTCACTTACTTAAGCGTTCTTAAATTTTTTCAATGCAATTTAAACCATATTTGGTGTACTTTCAGCAGAACTCTGATGCGTACGTTACGGCAGGCAGCGCGAACAATCTATTATAAGTTTGCAAAGACTTCCTATATCTATCTGATTGAGACGTTAATGAAATTCTCTCTGTGGTTTCATTTCAAAAGATAGCGTACCGGGTACTATAGGATGCTATTAGTTGCGCAATTCAATTTCCGGGTTTCGCATATGGATAGCGGTAATAGCATATAGTTTGAGCATACATTTTTGAAGTCATCTACTTTTTTTTTAAAAGCTTGGACAGCTCCATCTGCTAACAATCATCTCATTGCAAAAATATTTTCTGCAACAAGAAAGATCGCCAGTTTTGTGCGATAAAGAATATCATACGCGGAAAACTTTACTCTTTCTGATTAGTTCGAAGCACAGTGCTGTTGAATAGTTAGACAATGCGTTACGATATTCAAAGTCAGTAGACTTAAATTAAATCGTAGCTATAGAGAGGACCCAAGTCGCCCACCCAGAGCACTCATTACACTGCGGCCACCAAGTTACTATCTGTCGTTCCTCTTTCCTCACTTCTATCTAATTAAAAAAAAAAGAGTAAAATATATTCATGGCGATCCCATTTGCGCTACATTATGATTTGTTCCAACCAAATGAAACCATCAGTAC